GCGTTCCGCTACCTCTGGCCCGTGCTCCGCGCCTGCGTCTGGTTCAACGTCTGGCGAGTCCGGAACGATCGCGTCTTTCGCGCCGACCTACCGCTGCCAAGTCCATGGACGATTGCCGTCAAGGCGGCACGCGTCGCTCAACTGCACTTGCACCACAGCCTCGTACAAGAGCCCGAGCAGCCTTCTCTACGTCGGCTTCTCCGGCTCCTCGCCCAACACGAGTGGCCGCGACGTCACCTCGCTCCACGGATAGCACTCCTGCCTCCGCCCGCCTAAATCAAGTTCCTCAACCGAGTACACACAACGAAGAAAGTCCGACAATTTTATTTAGCATAGTTTTATCTATTGTAATAGACGACCCACTTCAACAACTACTGTCGTCATTGTTCAGCTGCCAAAGCGTTTTGCCTCCATCCTAGTACTATTTGGGTAACGTTATAGCGACTCAGATCGAGAGACTCACACCTACCGGTATAACGCGATGATAGCTCTACTACTACACTTAGTATACAAGTACTAGTACACCTTTGCTATGTGTACACGATTGCGAATTGTTTTTAGGATTTGTTTTTCGGTCGCGATCCTGTCGATGTTGCGACGCGTGTGCAACGGCAACGGTCGGAGATGCGTTTATCAAAACTCACCCGACAAGCCCACAAGGTAGCTACAACAGGCACCGTCGTGCGTAAATAACCAACAAATTTACGGTAAAGCCACACGCTACGGCTGCGGTCCCCGGTCGTTCCACTTGTGGTCCTGGTACTGCCCGTCATAATCGTACCGGCCATCGTACGGCGGCGCATACAGCTCCGTCGGCGGACGCGGCGGCGGCTGCAAAAAGCTGTGCGTGGCTGGGAGCGAGCGCAGCGGTGGCAGCACGATGGGCCGGCCGGGCGCCCCGCGCAGCATCGGCGAGACAAAGTTGGATGGCGGCGACGCACGATAGGTTGGCGGCGCTGGCGCGAGATACATCGGCGGCGCTGGTGCGAGATACCTCGGCGCCGGCGGGAACGCACGCGCGTCGGCTGCGAGGAGGTTGCTAATGCAGAGTCGCTTGACCCGAGGCGGCTCGTCCGGTGGCGGCGATGCCTCGCTGAGGCGCTTGAGGCGCTTCTTTTGCGCGTATGCTTGCTGCAGCGCGTTGGCCTTTGTCCGATGGAATTCGCAGAGCGAGTGGAGCTCACCGTTGCGCTTGGTCGCGCGCGGCTGGAAGCACGGCTTGTACGTGTACTGGCACTGGTGCGTTGGCTCGGCCGGCGCCGGCGACGAGGATTCGCCGCTCTCGCTCTCGGTCGCGTCGCGGTCCTTCTTCGCATACGCCCGTTGGAGCGCGTTGGCCTTGTTGCGGTGCATCTCGCAGAGGGAGTGGAGCTCGCCGTTGCGCTTGGTCGCGCGCCGCTCAAAGCACGGCTTGTACGTGTACTGGCACTGCCACGGCAGCGCGGCGACAGCCTTTCGGCGGGGCTTCGGGGCCATGGTGCAGCTGATGGAATATCAGCAGAAGCATGGCAGAAGGGCCAGCCAATTGGAGACAGGCCGTGGTGATAGTTCTTTTTGATTGGCGTCAGCGACCTGCAGGGGGTGGGTCCACAATGTGTCTTTTCTTTGGGGGGTCGTACTAAAAAGCGGTCATTATGGGCCGTGCGATGCGACCGTTGTCGAAAACAGGGTGTACCCCCGGTGAGGACCCGTGGCGCGAGCCAGAGTTTATATCGATTCGATTACTTCACACCTGACTTCACACAGTAGGATGCAGCTGGCGACGCACTGGAGCCAGCCACTTGATCCGCATTGGCGTTCAAGTCTCTGCCCAAGGCGTCGCAAGCGATACCTACTTTGTCAAGCTCACGGTGCGAACACTACAGCTACCAGTGTAGCAACCAATCACACGCGATCAGCTCGACAGTGGTGGACCGACAATAATGCTATCGGCTGTCGAATGTCTTTTTGATCCTGTCGGTGTACGTCTGCCCTTGTCAAGCGTGAAAAATGAGTGTCTCTGAGGTCTTCCCGGTACCAACCAGCAATCTAGCGATCGAAACGAGCAGCAAGGCGGTAGAAATGTAAGATAGTGTACGTTAGACGAGGCTACGACTTGTTACTGCAGCCGTCCGTGGTGGGTGCTGTGGTGCTGCTGCGGGCCCTTCTCGCCGCGCAGGTCGTCTCGCAGAAGCGCCGTGAGGTACCCAAAGCCATTGTCCGCGACGGGCGGGTACATGATGCGGGGCAGCGCCATTGAGGCGCCTCCTCCTCGCGGGTCAAACTGGACGTTGCCTCGGTTGTGGTACGACGACGACGACGGGTCGACGTACTGCGGCATCGCAATGTGGTGACGCGTGTGGCTCGACTGCATCGCGTACTCGGTGCTCGGAGCCTCGGTGCTGTGGCGATGGTTGGCGGCTTGCTTCTGGAGCCGCTTCTTCTGCGCGTACACGCGCTGGATCGCATTCGCCTTCTTGCGGTGGTACTCGCAGAGGAGGTGCGGCGCGCCGTTGCGCTTGGTCGTGCGCGGGTTCGAGCACGGCTTGTACGAGTATTGGCACTCGGTCTTGGCGTCCATTTCGGTTCTGTGCCACCGCTGGCCACTCCGATCAGTGGCGACTGATAGATGAGATTGCACCGGTGGCACGTGTGGGAAAGACGTGTTCAATTGCACGGATTGGCTCGATCCGGCATTCCACACGGTGGGAATTCGAGCCTTTCTGGCGTGTGCCGAATGGACGCGTGCGAGCGCAAGTAAGTTCAGCAGCGCCGGCGTGACGTTGAGCAACGTCGACGCGACTCGATTGGCCGATGCACTCGTCTTCGCCTGGCGCCGCTCTCTTTCGAGGTGATGCGCTCAGCTTGGTTGCACTGCCACCATCGAGTGAGTTAAGGTTAATTTAATTACATTGGAACATGGACTTGGATGTAAAAAAGAGGGTCGGATCCAGGGTTGATCGGTCGACCACAAACAGAGAGAAGGTGCTAAAAGAGCTCGTTGAGGATGGCCACTTCTTCGTGCGTCATGATCGGCGACCCAGCATTCCAGAGCGGAGAAAAGCTCTCGTCGCTCCAGAGCGACGCAAACACATCGGTCGATGTCCAGTGCGGTGCGAGCTCCATTGGACTCGACGGCAACGCGGGCTCGTCCTTGAGCGACAATTGCATGTTCGCCTTGGTTGCAGCGTGTTGTCGCTGCGCGCGCTTCTTGTTGGTGTAGACTTGCTGGATCCGGTTGGCTTTTTGGCGGTGAAACTCGCAGAGCAAGTGGAGGCTGCCGTTGCGCTTGGTCGTGCGCGGGTTCGAGCACGGCTTGTACGAGTATTGGCACTCGAGCGACGACGCAGGCATAAAGGTGTCCATTTCATTAATGCCAAGTCGATTGAAGCGGCGATCTCGCTGACTTTCGAGTCCATCACGAGAGTGGGCGAGGGCGAATCCGCCAATCACATGGCACAAACGCTGTGCGGGACTGATAGACGGCTCGGTGATTGGCTCGTTTCTTGGGTTAGGCATACCGACGGGCATTCAGCGCGACTCGTAGTGATAGTGCAACAGCGCTTTTGTCACCGAGCGCGCGATCCCAGTGCGACTTGAAAAATACAACGGGCGAGCTGAGTGATGGTGCAATGGTCTCTCTCTGGCCCACAGAGTTTTGGCTCGCTTCTTACGCAGTCGAGTCGAGACCAACATGCAGGTCCGCGTAGAAAAACTTGTGGAATGTGGAATTTCGGTCGGACTGGTCTTTTCAACACGAGGTAGGAGCCACGATGAACGATTTCAAACAAACCAACGCCCGTGCTTCTTGGAGGGTCGAGGTGGCAGCACCTTCGTACGCTCAGATGACTGCGATACGAAGGCTAAGGCTACCACCAAGCCTTGGCCATAATATGCGATAGTACACAGTATCTAGTGCATTCACACTGTGAACAGTGGTCAATGACAAAAATCACGAATTAGAAAAGCTCCTCGAGCATGATATATTCCTCTTTTGTGATGCTACAAGTCATGGCATCCGACATCGAAAAAATGCAGCATCCAACGAGACTGCCATCGAGGCCGTGGGTTCGGGTTCCCGCCAGAGCGCTCCTTCCGTGCCTGTGCACATAGCAGTCCAGGGCATATCGGAATGGCAGGGACAAGGCACGTGTTGGACCTTGGAATTGCTGAATCTGTTTGGGCCTCGTGGTACGGAGTGGCGGCGTAGCCGCTTCTTGGCCGCATACGCTTGCTGGATTGCATTGGCTTTTTGGCGGTGGAATTCGCAGAGGAGATGAAGGCTGCCGTTGCGCTTGGTCGTGCGCGGGTTGGTGCACACCTTGTACGAGTACTGGCAAGCGGGTGCTGCGTCCTTGGAGGCCATTTTCCAACTGATCTGTGATCTGTCGCCGTCCGAGAGCGAGCGGATCGGGGCGCAGATCGTGCATATGGAGCGAACCAATCCGAGTGCGCCAAAACTGATCGAACGCTGCGGATTGGTCAATCTTTAATGAGCTCACCCATTGCACACGCACAACGCAAGACTTGGGGCCAGTCGCAATGACAAATTCGCAAGCTTTGGCATCTCCACAGAACAGTACAAGTAATCTCGACAACGTCGACGCTAGCCACTGCCACCATCAGACAGTAGAGGTGCCAGTGCTCACTATCGACACAGTGTTTTGTACGCTGCTACTCGGAGACGCGGCTGCACGTTGCAACGTCGTCGAGGACGTGTCGTGAATACCGGTATCAACAAGCGTCGCTGCCAAGCAACGTTGCCGATCTGTATCCCGATGTGCTCGACCGACGTCCAATGGTGCTGCAACAAAAGCAAAATCTCATCCGTCGAGATGGCTCGCTCCATGGCCGCTCAGTTGATGAACGACATCTGCGCCGGTTGTCTGGGAGACGACGATGGCACTGCATGACCCCCGGCTTTTTGCCCTCTGCCTACATGTCGATTCTTCACTTTGAAATGCAGCTTATTAGCGATTCTCGGTCGTTTGACGGCGCATTCCGCGGCGCCTGCTAACCCTTTGACGCATGACTTTTGTGAAACTACCATTAACCATCCCTGTCAAAAAGGGTTGCAAAAGCCATGAGGGAGCGAGCGCCCGTGCACTTCCGAGCGCACTCGCGAGGTGTGCGTCAGAAACCAGGGAACCAGCGCGCTTGCGATGCTTCAGCTACTACTCGTGAGCTTGCAGTGACTCACCGAGAAATCGAGCATCAATCACCCTTGGCTCATTTTACAGTTTATACTAATACTTCAACAACAACTAGACTCCGAGCTTTACAGCAGCGTGTCCAAAACACTGGTTTCGTCACGCGCCCAGAGCGCGTCGGCCCACGGCAGCGTATGGTCATCGCGTAAGAGGGAGCTCATGTACTCAAAGAGCTCGGCCCCGAGCTCGTCCGAGGCATTTCCGGACGGCAACTGCGTCGGCGGTGCCACCTTGGCAACGGGTTGCGCAGGCGCGACTACAGCAGCGGGAGCACTCTTGCCTTGCTTGAGTTGCAGGCGCTCCAGGCGCTTCTTGTTGGCGTACACGCGCTGGATCGCGTTGGCCTTCTTGCGGTGGTAGTCGCAGAGAAGGTGAAGACTCCCATTGCGCTTGCGGGACCGCGGGTGCGTGCACGGCTTGTACGAGTATTGACACTCGAAAGTCGAATCCAGCTGTGGACGCTCGGTGGTCATTTTGAAACTGAGCGCCCACGTGGTGGTACTCGAAAAGTGCACGTCGGAACTGGTTTGCCACTGAATTGCGCGTGCCATCTGGTAGCAAATCCCATGCATGCCCGAGAAATGCCAGCCAATGAACATCGAGGTATTGGACAGAAAGCAATGCAATTGGCTGCCTGAATGAGGTGAAAATTCGAATTCGGGTTAAACCTTTAGACGCCTGGGATAAACCAAAAGGTCGCAGACGCCGTGATAGACGCGTGCGCTTTCGACAAGTTGTCTCGGATTGCATGTTGCAGTTGGAGCGTACCGCGTGGACTTGACGGAGGATCCCACGCCGTAAAACGATCTGTAGACGGAATTGACGAAGCGCTCCTAGGTGACTCCTTCTACAGCTGTACGCACGGCGTCACGGCGTCACACCTTGTGTCCGTCGTCGTCCATCGTCGCGCAACCAAAATGCAGCACCTTTTCCCAACGCGCAAAAGATCGCTGCAATCGACTTTTTTCAACTGCTTTCGACAACAAAATAGAGCACATTGATGATGACTAACGCTATTTCCTAACAACTAACTATCAGCGCGTCTTGTGCGCTCAAAAGAGCTCGTCGAGCATCACAAACTCTTCGTGGGTCATGGCAAGGTCGCCAAAGTCGACCAATGCGCTGTCGTCGCGAAGCAGCGCGTGTAAAAAGTCGAATTCTTCTACGCCGAGCTCCTCACTGAGCGGCGGCGACGCGACGGGCGAAAGCGCGGCCACGGCCGCGGCTTCCTTGGCCTTGCCTTGCATTTGGCGCTTCTTGGTCGCATACGCGCGCTGGATCGAGTTGGCTTTTGTCCGGTGGTACTCGCACAGCGTGTGGGGCTCACCGTTGCGCTTGGTCGTGCGCGGGTTCATGCATGGCTTGTACGTGTATTTGCAGGTAAGGTCCATGGTGGTGCTGTAGCTGGTCTTGGTAAAATGAAGAATGTGAGCTTTGAGGAATCATCGCAATTTGTTCAACTGCCGATTTGGACCTTCGAAGGGTAACTCACATGACTTGTTGCCCATGTGGCCTGCTCTGACTTGGTTTTTGTATAAAGTCCAGTGCGGTTTTGCTCGCGGTTATGAAACAAAATGGGACAGACGGGCGACGAGCCGCAGTTGGTTGGAGTAGTACCTTGGCGTAGTGGTATGCTTGTTTGTCAGCGTCCGCGCCGCTCCTTTTATCGTATTTCTCTCTCGGCATTCAAATCAATGGCGCCTACTGAGAGAATAATCATGGCTCAGAAGCTGCGTCGGAGATTCAAACCGCGTGCGTCGTGTTATGCGTACAACACAGCGTCCAGTGCACTGGTCTTCTCGGCCGCTCCTGCTCGTGTAAGATGACATAAAACGCATCCAGCTGATACTCTGACTGGCTTCTGATAGGGCCACTGGGCGGCGTCTGGGCATCTGCGACACGCAATACTTTTTTCAAGTCGCGCGATTCGGCGAGGCGCGAAATATTTTGAAACGACACGTTGTCCTGGCCCCTTGACGGTCGCCACGCTCTGACGACAGACGCGAGCGATAAACAAGAATCTTTCCAAGCTTCCGCGCCGTCCGTTGCCACTCGTCTTGGGTGCAGAACAACGAACGGAGACAGGACCTCTCGATGGCCGCCCATCGCGGTCGGTCGGTCGGGGAAGTTTCTTCCAGCTGCTTGTAGTAAACACTTGGCGCTCGAACGAATCGGCAGCCACTCGTGTGCTTGCGATCGATATGAGCCGCAGTGGTGTAGTAGATACCGCCCTTGTTGCGTGAACGGGCCTTTTTGGATATGTTGGTACTCGCCTTGTAGAAAGGCGCTCGTCGAGGCAACAGATTCAACAAACCCAGCGGGTGATCACGCGGGTTGTTTGCTGTCGCAAGTTACCATGTAGCGTGTGCGAGTGCTCTTCTACCAACTACCGTAGGTCGATGGATGCAGCTTGGAGGGCGACCCATGATCACTGCAGCGTAGACACGGCGGCACCCTGTTTGCGTCTACGGTGACCACGTGTGTAGAGCTGGATCTTACTCGAATGATGAGTACAACAGCGCCAAGGACTATTAACCCCGCCCGAGATGGTTCGTCACGGTCGCCACCGTGTTTGTACAGCACCGTGGAAGGGCTGCGTGTGCAGAATGGCCGCGTGCTCCTAGTCGAACGCCAACACAGAACGTTTTCAAAGCGCTGCATGGCGGACGCCCGAAATGTGGTCGGCACTGAATCTACATGTATGTGGTCCTCGATGTCTTTCGAATCAAATGTGTCGACACCACGTTGCCACCGTGCCACGGAAGCATCTTGCCAACACGACACGAGAGTGTATCACAACCACACCTCGCCCTAACTGGCACGGAGTTCTTGGTGGAGTAGAGTAGCCAAGTGTCCGAGTCTCACAAGCCGTTGTCCCCAATCCATCCGGATCCGGATAAAGATTGGGGCCATCTCGCTACGATGATGCGGTCGCAGTATCTCGTGCATTAGTACCGGTAGTCCATCGGCATGGCGATCTGGAAGAGCCAAAGTTTCCCCGCCAATGGAGCAACGTGGAAACGCCTCGAAGCCGCGTCAAGGCGGCCCTTGACGCGCACCATTCATCCATTCCTACCTTTTTGTACTAGTACACTACAGCGAGGCGACCATTGGAGTGGCCTCTAAGGGGAGCATCCGCCTCGCTGAGAATATGTGAGTTTTGAATTTGCCTGCCTACGAGCTCGAGCAAGGAGCTGAACAACGAGCTTCTCGAGTCGCATGTACACACCAGTGCTACGACATCACGACCACGTGGGTGTTGTTAGCGTCGCTGCGTCTTTCGATGCCTCTTTCGCCAGCGCTCGTGGTTTTTCTCTAATATGACGAGCCTGCGGCCTCGAAAGTCTAGCACACGTCGACTCTGGCCCATCGTACGGACATGTGTCTGGTACAAGCGGCTGTGAAACGGCGCAATCACTTTGGACAAGTTTGCAGGCGCTGACATTTGGCATGCCTACTAAACAAGCAGAGGACAACAAGGAGAGGTTTGTGAAATCTTGTTTACCGGATCGCAACACAATACCTACACCACCCAAGCTACGTTGCCGGCGTGGTCAACGTGTCATAGCCCATAAATAGCATTGGGTAAAGAGGTAACGTTAGTCGCGATACGCTCAGCTTCCAAGCCCTTGGACACACGGTCGCCGACCTCGAAGACCATCTACCAAGACTTTATCCAGCGTTGCAGCCAACCCGCGGTTGGATCCAGCTGCTCGCGACCGCTCTCGTTCGATGCTTCCAACTCACCCCGCCTGCCGATCATGACGTGCGCCCAACCAGTGCCCCGCCATGGCTCGTCAAGTTCGGACCACGTGTCGTCCTCGCGGCGACTATGGACGTTCGACTGACCGGCTTCCGACTGCGACCGCAATTTGACCGGCGTTTGCTTCCAGTGCAACACCTTGGCGTCCCAGAGACGTCCTTCTACGAGCACCCGGGCCGAACGGCCTCATTTGTACCTCTACGGCAGCCAGCCCACGTCCTTCCGTGATACGGTGACTATGTGTACTGGGTCGCTTGAAAGCCGTGGACGTCCGAGCCAGCTTGCACTTTCTCGGCCACGATGATAGACACTGCCTTCTCTGGGATGCGCAAGCCCGAGAAACGTACGACCATCTTTTGGTGCGGTGCCATACGTCCGAGCGATCTTTTGCAGATGCAATTCCCGTCGTCGGTCGCTGGTTTTCCTCAATCAAGACCGAACTACTTGGGGGCAACAACCGTGTTGGTGTCCGCCATGCCTGTGGTGGGCGAGGCGGGTTAGTTGTTTGACTGACTAGCTCGCTTGCTCTGCGCCTCTTGGCTTTTGTTCGAACTTGTAACTGGTCTTCTAGATCGCTCGTTTTTTGTTGTTGTTGAGGTGAGTCTATTTAGATATAATTTACACTGAACTGGATATGGTGGTGGACTATCGATTCCAAGGTGCTACGATGAGCCGGCCGCCGAGAGGCTTAGCCGAGCGGGAGACGTGGCGTGTAACGGCACATGCCGGTAACAAAGTTGTCGCGTAGCCATGCGTTGTGCTGCAGGGCGGCCATCATTTGGAAGTAGGCACAATGCTTGAGTGTTCAGCAGCAGGT